TCATAACCCCATTATGAGGAAGTTCGTTTGCACCTACTCGAAGAATAAATGGGAGAAAAGCCTCATTCACTCTGTGTTGAGCTGAGAAGTAGGATTAAATTATTCCGATCACAGACAGATTGTTCCAGTAACATGGAATTTGAAGCCATGAGGGCCCTATCGAGAACAGAGGCTTTTATACTATATAAAAAGGCAAGAGACAAAAACCCTTGCCAAACTCCTTCACTCTTTATTACCAACAGCTGCAATGCTGGATGTGTCTGGATGCCTTTTAAGTGCCAAGGGGAGTGACGGAGGTGGGACGGCATGTGAGCAGATGAAATAGATGGCAGCTTCCCCCTGATGGCAAGTTTAATTATTTGCACTGTCGCATGCATAAGGAAAAAAACGCATATTGGGAGCTGTTTCAGCCAGCTTCCTGTGGCAGGCGAATTATGGAGAACACACACCCTTTCTGGTCCATGGCACAATGAGGTCTTAAAATATTCAGGTCCTGTGTGTCTTTGTTGAAGAAGGGAAAGCAAGTTAGAAGGAGTTTCCTAAAGGAGGAGTGTGTGAATACAGCAAGAGAACAAAATAGCACATATTCTCCTGCATGAAATGAGATGCTCAGCAGAGGGGAAGTAGATCAAAACCTTAAAAGAACCATCCCTTCCCTTTTATGTTATGCCTTCCTCTGGGGCCTCTCAGCATGTTCCATGATTTTTCTTTTCCTGTGATCACTTGATTAGGGATAGTCTTCATTTTGCAATGCTAAGTGCACAACAAGAAAAGAATGATCTGCATATTAAAAAATGAGGTGTGATTTTGGGTGCCCAGTTTGCCATATCTTACAGGCAGCTGATTTTTCATAAATTCCCAATCCGTGCCCAGGAAAATGTTAACAGGAGCTGAGATTGTCTAGTCTCTGATGCAGCTGTGGCAATTGCACTTGTAATTTCTAGGTCTGAAGTTCTGAGAAATGAGCTGCCCCAAATCATTAGCATTTGATGAAAATTTAGAATAATTAAAAAAAAACCCAAAACAAACCAAGAACAGTATGCCAAACTCTGCCAAATCTGATTGGTCATGTAGTTTTCTCACCTGCATTGATGAACTCTACTTGTCTCAAGAAGTCTACAGGCTAACAAGAGGTAAGGCGCTCCTGGATCTGGTACTGGCCAAAGGGGTTGATCTGGTGAGTGACCTGAGAGTCAAAGGGAAGCTGGGAGACAGTGATAATGAGTTGATCACTTTCTCTATCCATCGCAAAGCTGGCAAATCAGTCAGCAATGCAGAAATCCTTGATTTTAGGAAAGCCGACTTTCATAAGCTCAGGAAGTTGGTTGCTGAGGCCCTGAGAAACCAGGATCTAACAGCGAGGGGAGTCCATGATGAGTGGTCACTCCTTAAGGATGTTATCCTTGAAGCACAAGGGAAGTCCATCCCAGCACGTAGGAAAGGTAGCAAAAGGGCTGGGCGTCCCCCGTGTCTAAACAGAGGACTCCTGGACCTCATGTCTCTGAAAAGAGAAGCCTACAAGGGTTGGAAGTCAGGTAACATCACCAAGAAGGATTATTTGGCACTGGCCCACACTTGCAGGGAGCAAACTAGGAAAGCCAAGGCCGAAACTGAACTCAAATTGGCTACGGAAATCAAGAACAACAAAAAGTCCTTCTTCAGATATGTGGGTAGTCAGAAGTAAAACAAGGGCAGCATTGGACCCTTGACAAACCAAATGGGGCAGCTGACAACAAACACCCAGGAAAAAGCTAACCTCCTTAATGATTACTTTGCACTGGTCTTCCACCAGCCCAAGGGGATCACCCTGCCTAGCAAGATGGACGATTGCCAGGGCATGGGTGAACTCACACCCATCACTGGTGAAGATCTCTTGAGGGGACACCTTGAGAGGCTAGACACCCATAAATCAGCTGGCCCAGATGGAATGCACCCAAGAGTGCTAAAAGAACTGGCAAACATCACAGCATGGCCATTGGTGAGGATATTTGAGAACTTGTGGTGCTCAGGTGAGGTTCCTGACGATTGGAAGAGGGCCAGTATGGTACCCATCTTCAAGAAAGGGAGTAAGGAAGATCCAGGGAACTAGAGGCCAGTCAGATTGACCTCAAATCCCTGAAAAGATATTGGAAAAAATCATCAAAGAAACCATTATCAACAGGCTAATGGAATGCAACATCCTGAAGGATAACCAACACAGCTTTGTTGCAGGTAGGTCTTGCCTGACCAACCTCATTCTTTCTATGACCAGGTGACGCATTACTGGAAAAGGAGAAGAGGTTGACATCATCTACTTGGACTTCAGAAAAGCCTTTGACTTGGTCTCCCATGAAGTCCTCATGATTAAACTGGAGAACTGTGGCCTTGACAACCTCACTGTTCAATGGCTTGGGAACTGGCTCTGTGGTCGGACCCAGAGTGATAGTTGATGGAACCATGTCAACGTGGTGCATGGTGACCAGTGGCATCCCCCAGGGCTCCACACTTGGACCAGTACTTTTTAACATATTTATAAATGATCTGGATGCAAGTATCAGAAGTGGACTGGCTAAATTCACTGATGACACCAAACTATGGGGAAGTGTGGTCATGCTAGAAGATAGGCTCGTGATTCAGGCCCACCTGGACAGGCTTGCAAGGTCGGTGGATCAAAACCTGATGTCATTCAACACTGAGAAATGCAAGGTGCTCCACCTTGGGAAAAAAAATCCACATTATACTTATAGGCTTGTTAGTGCTACACTTGCTAGCACCACAACCGAAAGGGACTTGGCAGTTTTGACTGACCACAAGATGAACATGAGCCAGGAATGAGATCCCAGCCAGCAAAGCAAACAAACCCCTGGCTTGCATCTATCAGTGCATCTCAAGCAAAACCCAGGAAGTCATCTTCCCACTGTATTTAGTCCTGGTGAGGCCGCAGCTGGAGTACTGCATCCAGTTCTGGGCTCTGCACTTTAGGAAGGAGGTGGAGAAGCTTGAGAGAGTCCAGAGGAGAGCCACGTGCACGATCAGAGGACAAAAGAACAAGTCTTATGAGGAAACACTGAGGGACTTGGGACTCTTCAGCCTGGAAAAGCAAAGGCTCAGGGAGGACTTGGTAGTGGCCTATAAGTATATAAGGGGTGTGCACCAGGAACCGGGAGAACATCTGTTCACCAGGGCACCCCAAGGGAAGACAAGGTTTAATGGTCACAAACTGCAGGAAGATAATTTTAGGCTGGACATAAGAAAAAACTTCTTTACCATTCGAGTCCTCAGAGTCTGGAATAGACCCCCCTCTCCCCCCCCGCAGAAGCAGTGCAAGCACCTACTCTGAACACCTTTAAGACACACTTGGATGCTTATCTTGCTGGGATCATTTGACCCTAGCAGACTCCTGCCCCTTGGGTGGGGGGCTTGGACCTGATGATCTTGTGAGGTCCCTTCCAGTCCTAATGTCTATGAAATCTATGAAATGTTCCAGGGCATTGGACACAGATTAATGCGTGTTTATTTTGTGAACTGCTGGTCCTAGACCACATATGATTTACTCAGCAACACCAATTAAGTCCATAAGATTGGACACAATGTTCCAAGTGAAACCCCACCAGTGCTCAATAGAGTGGAAGAATCACTTCCTGTCACTTAGATATGATGCTTCTGTTCATGCCACCCAGAAAGCTCTTGGCTTCTCTTCTCAGTACTGAATAATCTCAGTTCTTCCTAAGTGTCCTTGTAAATCATGTTTCCTAGACTGCTAATCATTCCTTTTGTCCTCTGCTGGACTCTTTCTAATTTATCCACATCTTTCTTGAATTGGGGGGGGCCCAAAACTGGATACAGTACTCCACAAGAGGCCTCACCAGGGCTGAAAAGCAGAATAATCACTTCCCTTGACTTGCAAGTGAAACTTCTGAGCACCTATACATGTGCCAGATGTCTGCTCCGACACGTGGAACAGACTCAGTTGCTGGAGTATGTTAATTAACATGCTCCAGCAGCCTCTGTGTCACATGCATTTAGCATCCCTGTGCTTCAAAATGGCAATGGGGGCACTTGAACTAAAATTCATCAAACAAGCTTTACTTAAAGCACCCCCGCCACCATTTTGAAGTGTGGGACACTGAGTAAACGTGATGCTTCAGGCGCTTTAATTAGAGTGGCTCCAAGACCTGATCTAATTAAAGCGCCCCCTTCCCCCCACCCTGGACCATGTGTATGGACATCCTCTGTTACTACAGTCCAGTATGCTCTTGGCCATTCAACAACAAGAGTACACTGCTGATTCATATTCGGCTTGTGGTCCATTATAACCCTCAGGTCCTTTTCTATGGAAGAGAAGCCTAACCAGTCATTCCCTAATTTATATCTGTGTATTTGACTATTCTATCCTATGAACATAACTTTGCATTTGTCCTTACAGAATTTCATTCAATTAAGTTCAGCCCATTTATTCCAGTTTAGCAAAATCATTTTGAATTTCTAATCCTACCCTCTAGAGTGCCTGTTGCAAGCCAATACTTTATGTCATCTACAAGTTTAGTAAGTATGCAACCTTCCAAGGCATGTGTATCTTTGCTATTGCCTGTAAAGGGAATGCTGTTGGTTGCTACTATTGGTATAAGACAATTCTCTATCTTTCCCCTCTCCCTTTGCTACTTAGGCTGCCAAACCCATGGTATGGCCCTTTGTCACTATATTTACAGAGTTCTGGCTGATCGATGCATTAACGTAGATGCCCAGTTATGATGATCATTAATACAAAACTCATCTCACCAGCTTACATTTACAGTATAAACCAGACAGTCTTCATTTTACATACCCAGATTCTGTTTTGGCTGTGCACTATAACAGGGCACCTGGATCTTGTGCCTGTACGTGGGTCCCCAAAATGGGCACCTATCCTCACGTGCCAGTCTGAGCCACCAAGCATATCAGTGGCTTTGTTTGAAAACTGAGGTGGGTCACTTGAGAGTTCGGAAAGTGTTAAAGGAGAAAGAGGAGAATTCAGGACTTGCCTCACAGGGGGAGTTTCTAATTGGAGCTGGAAACACAGCGCTGGTCACGACGGTTGTTTCTGCTGCAGGTGCCTCGCTGGTGTTCAGCAAGAGCGCGCAGCCTACAGAAAAGGCAAACAGAGAAAAGAACATGCTGTCATGAACCACCTCTAGGTGTAGGGTCTGTAAAAGCCTCCCTGGAACTTTCCTCTAGTGATCCTACTCATTCTGACTGTCTGCATTACTGGGCCATTATTACAGGAGAATTGCATACAGCAAAAGGTATTTTTCAATTGACTTTGGTTGCAGTTAATGCAGCTTCACATTCCTTAGGGACCTACTCAGAAAATGTATGTAAGCAATCTGATTACCTTCTTCACACACAGTACTTTTCTCTTTATTTGTGACATGAGGATTCATTTTCTTTGCTGGATCCATAAGAAAATGCTTATTTAAAAAAAACAATTTACATGACTCTTTCTGCTGGCAGAATGGCAGGTTAATAACAATAAACTTCAACGCCTCTCTGTTCATCTAGGCTGAAAGGCCATTCATAACAAGGGCTGCAGGGAGGGGGGGAAGTGAGGGGGTGGGGAGGAGGGGCTGTCTATGATGCCTGCTTCTTCTAGGATCGAGGAAGTAGAGAAAAATGGGAAGGGAGATTCATTCCTATGCAGATATGGGGAGGGCTGGGGTTGTGGGGCTGAGCAGTGGGCCCACTCTGCTGCAAACTCCCCCTAGGCTGGCTTTGCTGCCCCTGTCATGAGGCTGGATAGCTGTGAAAGCAGGATGCTACTGAACTGTGTTGGATTGTGGTGGACTGAACTCCAATTCTGCTGCAACTGTCCAGCCTGGACTTGAATTAAATTCACCACTACATGATAGATCAGTGGGTTTCAACCATTTTAGACTCAAGGCAATCCTCAGAAAATGCCAGCTCTCCATTTTCACATTTTTTTTTCACTACAAAAATAACAGGCAATTCTTCTGTTGCAAATAATTCATAAAGTCCACAATAGGGCAGAATTATATGTTTAATGCTATGAATCTCTATTTGAAATTTCTGGGTTTATCTTGTGAATTGTGTGTACACTTAACAGTGCTAACACCTACCTGTGCTAACACTGAGTGGCACCCCGTGGCACTCTTGAGGGGATCTCAAGGTACACCTGGGTATCACAAACACCCTGGATGAGAATCACTGGGATAGATAAGAACATAAGAACTGCCATTTACTGGGTCAGACCCTAGGTCCATCTTGCACAGTATCCTATGTCACACAGGCTAGGGACAGAAGTTACACATAAACTGGTTTAAGTGATCAGAAACTGATTTAAACCTGTAACAGAACAGAAGTTCAGTGCACATAAACCACTTTCAAAATGGCTGAAACTGGCTTAAGATAAACCTGGTTGAATGTAGTGTCAGACTTAACTGATTTGGGTCAAACTGGTTTAGGTAACTTCTGTCCCAGACCCTTTCCTGGTTCAGGTTAAATCAGAGTCCCCCAGCATCCCAGCATGCTTTTCAGCCCTGGGCTGGGCTGTGCTGTCTGCTACAGAGAACAGGGCTGGCCCCAACCCTCTCCTCCCTAGCCAGAGCATTATCACCGCTCCAGCTTGCTGAGAAGGGGGGTGGGGGACTGCATGCAGAGCAGTGTCTGCCTGGCTTATCC